CGACTCGGGTTTTGGAGTCGGTTAATATGATTGGGGTGGGTGTTAAATTCCGATGGATACTCTACTTAGTAGGGGTAAGTATATATTGTGGAGTAAGTGGTAGTGGGATGGCTGGCTGGCTGGGTGATCGGGTATGAACGGGGTGGTGGTTTTGGGTGGTAGTAAGTAGTAAGCAATGGGATGTTGATTGATTGTCCATTCCTAAGAATGGGGGAGTATATGTGTGTGATTTCCTATAAATTTGGTATATGCATGCATCTATACACATCCAAGATCTACTTATCGAACATGTCAAACATACAGCATTCGAGTCAAGTAAGACACATCATCCATACAACGATATTGTTGGGGAGGGATTTACCACACAATGGTACTTTGTCGGCTCAGTTACCCTTGCTTGCCTTTAACCCTAGCTAGTTTAACTATCTAGCACGTAGTTCAAAAACTAATGACTTAGTTCTCACTTGCTAACCAGGATCCCAGTCCACTACAAAAAACCCAGGTAGATAAACTAGTATTGTTTAGGGAGTCCTTTCCCAACATCCCCTACCCATGCAGTAGTTCACTTAAGTAGGTACCCTCCCTAATCTATCAGTAGTCTCCTGAAAACGTTCGCTAGACTAGTGAGGGAGTTGGCGAAAATCACCACCGAAAAGAAATGAAAATGTTCTCGACCACGGCGGAATAAGCCGATCAACTATACTACACTAAGTAGTCTCCTTTTTGGATAGATCGTTCGATCATAAAATGATTGATTGATTGATAGCTTGCGTACTGGACTGGACGGGACTGGATGCGATCACATCAACTAGACCGCACTCACTTGGACTACTAGATGGATAACTTGGTTCCACTACCCGGAGATTGAACGAACCTTGCTCAGTCAGCAAGCAACCTAGTTACTTTGTAGTTTGTTAGCTTGATATCTCCGTCCTCCGACCGGATCCGGGCCCGTGTCCGGATAGTAGTGGGGGGAGATCACTCGCTCGCACGGTCTAGACGGTGGCCTTGTCCGTGTCCATTTCTCCGTGTGAGTGGGTTAAAATGATGGGTGAGGGTACCGTGGATTGTGTTGGTATGTTTGCGTGGTCTGAGAGCCGCATGCTTCCAGAGAATCATTCTTATCTTGGGTTTTTTTGTTGGTATGTAGCAGATCCAAAGGTATGCAGCGGACAGGCACCAAGGTATAATGAAATCAGCATTTTCTCGAGAAAAAGCAAAAGGGAAAGTATACGGATATACTGTGTGACTCGAATCGACTTGACTTGACCAGTCGAATCTCGCCCGAGTCCGAAAAATCTCCGCGCGCAGCGCAAATCTTTATAGACACATCTCAAGCAAACGGTAGGAATGAACAAGAATTGCCTATGACGGTAAGGTAGAGGAGGAGATCGGTGAACCGATTGACCCATGGTCATGACAATCTGCCCGTCAACCTTAGCCGTACATACACGAACACGGATAGATCAACCGATGTGGTAGTACCCCTGCCTCAATAATGGAACTGTACACACATAAAATCGCATAACTGCTCATATAGATATAAGACCGCAAAGTGTGTGATCATCGATGGAGAACAGCTAGTCATACTGAGTATGCTACCTGCATGGAAGGATTCTGACACCTTCTGGCCCAAGCACTGGAACCCGAATTTTGCCATCCACTCAAGGCGCATTGTCGGATGTGAGCGAAACCATAATTAGGATTTCTGGGCTGCGCAGGTGCGCCCTGCTACTCCACTGGAACCGTTCCGGCTGATCTTCTGGTTCGGAGATAGCAACTATACTCGGTTCAGCCTGGAAGGAGGTGCCGGTGCCGGTGCCGGTGCCCTGTTGCGTGTCCACAACTTACACACAGGTGCCCGGGAATGGTTAGACTGATTCTACTACTAACTGTTGGCAACTCTGAATAAGGGAATATAAAAGTGACGGGAGTTTGTTACAAAGCGGGAAGTGTTGTAAGCGGCAGGCCGTTGGGTGAGGTACCTCCCTTGTACTTTTGTCGGTGATTGTCCGACTAGAATAGGTGGAAAGGGTACCTCCCTGGGTACTCAGACTGTGCCGGTATAGTATTCGTACTAGTAATTTGAATCACTGTAAGGAGTAACGAAAAGAAGTTAGTAGGAGGGGTTAATAGGGCAATGTTAGGTTCAGGCGCCCATGTTGCAAACACATGTTGTATGCGAGATTCCAGATGTGTAGGTTGATCTCGGGCATGTTCACCTCTTTCTCTCCCCCATACCTTATCTCCTCGATTGACTCCAGTGGCTTTCTATTTGTTGGTTCCTGATCTGGTAATTGGAGGCGATAATGTGTCATGTCTCACCGACTGCATGACACGACGATCCCGTGGTGTGGGATTTCTCCCGTTGGGAATTTGTAAGGCTGAAATGACAGTCCGCCTATCTACGAAGTACATACTGCTGCTTAACTAGTCTACCTGTCAACTTGTTAGATCGCCGATACGGTGATCATGACAAATTTGAGACGGCTGCCTGACAAGGCTGGCTTCATGCACATCGCGTGGGAGGCTCATTGGATGATTCCCGACAATGTCTCAGATCAGATAGTTTGAACCGGCTAATATGCACGGCTGCCAGGCGTTGGAGATGTTGGAGCTGTGTTTCTAATTGGTATCAGAACCTACTACTAGTATGAGTAGTACTATCTTAGGCAGTTGCTTGTGTATTTTGCTGGCATGGGTCTTATTGGATTCCCAGATCTGTCTCACGCCTTGATACTGAACCGTAGTGGATGCTTGCGAAGGGCAAGCTATGCCTATCGGATCTTCCGGCGGGAGGAAGTGGGTTGAGAACTCTGTGGGAGAGTATTTCTCGTGTTGAACCTAGGTGGAATGCTGATACCACAAAGTAGGTTAGGAAGAGTATTCAATTCCCCTTCTCCTGATAAACTCAATGACACATATTCGTCCAAAGCGCATAGGGAGGCCATAGCTTACGTCGTAATATCCCCCTGAGTGTGGATAGAAGTGGTCTCTCTGTATGGAGCAAGTACTAGGTACTTGCTCCACAAGCCTAGGGTGACTTAGTTCTTACGTACCAGCTACTTTGGTGTTACCGAACTCGGTTGGCTGGCGGGAGAAGCCTGAGGTGGCGTGACCAGCATTCACCTACCAAAGAGAATAGGCCAATGATGGATCATCATGGTGTGATTAAATGACAGAAAACTGCTCGTGCTGCTCATCGAGCAATTACTCGATGAGAATTTAGTCGATGATTTTCTTCCCGTCAACCAATGACGAGCATGTTGGAAGGCAGATCGGTCTGCTCCCAGGGGCACAGCGGCGGGTGGTTCCCCGCTGGGGGCAGCGCGGAGGCTAAGCTACCGTAATTAGCGGGGGTGCCTATGGGTCCGTGAACGACGTCAGGAAGTTAGTGACTTGACTTGCTTTTTACTTACTTGCTTCGTACCACTGAAAGCGGCCCCGATACCACGCTAGTCCGGATGAGCTCGGTCTAGACTGGGCGCCCAGCAATGACCCTCTTCTCCAAATCCTTTCCCCCAAATCTATGCAATGGGCAGGCAGTGTTGTTGCGATTTCTGGAGGGTCATCCATTCAACTTGCTCTTGGCAGTCTGCTGTTAGTGTTACCTGAAAAATATCCCTCGTCAAGTTTTGCAGATCGTCCACAATTCGACATGGTAAATGAAGATTTTCCAACTTTCTTGCCTACTCTGGTTTACTTGAGGTTGGCATTTGCTTGTGCGTATTGTATCCTCCAGTCGAATCCCAACCTTAATTCCTTCGCCTGAATACTTGCATCTTCCATTGTGTCATGTCAAGGTTAGCTTTATAGCCGCGGTGCAGGTCAGCACTGTATCAATTCCCGATTCTTATTGCACTCCTCACACACCCTGTGCGATAGTATACCTTTGCGCACATGCACAGCTCCGAGCTACTTTGTCGTACGAGATTTCCCGTAGATTCCCCACCATCGACCAAGGAGACACAGTGCGTACAAAGTGTTGGACTGTGCGAAACCGAGCTATCATTCCCAGAAGTGAGGGGGCAAAAAAGGTGGGTATCGGGGCACCCTTTTGCTATGTAGAGTCTATAATAGTCAGGTCTTGGGAAACCCTTTTCCATCTGTGTAACCAACCAGACCGTGATCAAGCTAGTGACGTTAACTCGACACTCACTTGTCCTGATGCAGGCTTAGCAATTACTACCAAGAGAAACGCCGGTGGCTCAGGCGCTAGACTAGCTGAGTCCTGCTCACTTCGCGTACCCAATACCCATACTGTCGGGTCCTTAACGTGTCGATTATAGGGGCCAAAACTTGCAATTGCCACATCGTGCAGGGAGAACTAAGCGAGTAACCAATGAATGCACATGCGTCTCCGTAGGTAATGGCAGGTCGTTCCGTTAGTGCGACCTAAGACGGGCGGCCTGTTGCGACTCTGGTATCCTCTCTCCCTATAGGAATGCCTTCCAACCGAAATCATGGCCTGTCCGAAGTAAGCGCCAAATACGTAGGTTGTATGCATGGTGATTCAACGGTTGCTGTCGTGATTGACCGACAATCCCCATGTCTTGAGCCACGTTTTCTTTGCAACCACTGCCTGCCATGCCTGCTATCTAGCGGTAAAGGCGTGTCTGGTAAAATCGGTGACTAGAAGGCTCACCAGCTCTTGCTTGATCACGAGGCAGTTTGGCTGGGCTGGGGGTCAACCGGCTACGGCGCGCACCACTTCACGCCTATCCAATTGCACCAGAGATACAGTCCCGACGTATGTACATACCTGCGCCCCTCTGGTTCCACTCCGTGTCATATCAATCCCGTGACTGGAAGAAAGTTCGACGGCTGCTGCCCAGCGCTAATCCCTGCAGAAGGCGTGGCGCTACTGGCCAGTTTCCGAGCATCTCGGAGATATTCGTCAATCCCTCAATGTGGAAACGACGTGTCCAGGATAGCCCCCATGAGAACCTAAGGGACTCTCCTTGTCATTCTTCATATATCCGAGGCCTTGGCTCATTTCCCTCCCTTTCCCCTGCAGATGCCACTGTGATATGAGGCAATGTTAAATCCCAAAACTGAAAAAGCACGTTGGGCACAGTAGTGACTATCTGAAACAGATATTCTTAAGGACGGATGTTATTCCCAGCTACTACCTCTGTTTGGTTGGATAGGCTCGAGTCCCAAATGGACTGGCTCGAAGAGGCGACGACTCATCAATGTAGGCAGATTCAATAGAGACAATGGTGCACTTGGCGTATCAGGAACTTCGCCAGTCAGCAGACCATCCAAGTTCTTCGACACGCGTTAGATTTACTTCGCCGAGTGGCTTGGAGAAGGATGAGTACCGGACATGGAAAGGTGCGCTGCTTGGCGGGGGTTTGTTGACCTTCCAGAAGGCCATCGAACGCTCGCAGATGATGTGGATGGTTGGGAAGGTCCATGGCGAGCCCGATCGGATCCCTGTGTCAATCCCTATCTGCAAGAGGAAACAGGAAGTTACCCAAGTGACACCAACCATTCAATTTGGGTAAGTCCTCCGGAATCTCAATGATAATGTCTGGGGACAGCCTCTGGGCGCAAGCCACCTCAGCTGTATAACCCTTCCTCCAGATGCGGTGCCAAGCAGTTACAGAAGGTTACCCATGTTACTCGTTCCATACTTACGCTCGAGGGGAAGCGGAAGGGGGTTGTCAGAAGGCCTACACGAAGTGGCCGTCCATGCGACCCATGGGACCAATGACGAACTCCATACGATCATCCACCTCCAGGAGGAAGTGGCCGCTCAGACCCCTCCCTAGAACAAGGAACGAAGGAAATGGTTTCCACTAAGGTTTCTTCTTCAGCAACGTTCCTGCGCCCGAGAATAGTCAGGAAAAACCGAGGAAGTCCGGACAAAGAATGCTCACACCGGGCAACTCTGGTTCCTGCGCAAGCCATCGGTGTGTGCCTTCGCGGGTCCATCAGAACCTTGAAACCCATTTTGGCAGCCGCAGATCATACTAGCTCTCTTGGAGGCCGTCAGATCATCCCTTCAGCTGGAACGGGAGGATATTATGGCAAGTGAGGGTGGGAAGGGAGGAAGGGGGGATCGATTGGGGAAGGAGAATCGTGGAAAGTGGATCAGCCGTCAGTGGAGGCAGGCGATCTGTGGGTTCTTTGCAATCTCATCCAGTCCAACCGACTCGCCAGAGTAGGTGAGTTTTGTGTGGCTGTTGTTGTTTTGATACTTGTAGCTGCCGCACACTACACTGGCTCCGCTGCACGTCCTATGCCAATCAGTGGCTGTCAACGATCCGTGTACAATGTTGGTATACTACAACTTTCCAAATTGCAGCTGAAACGCCGTTTCCGCAGTGGCATAATGCAGAATAGGACGGAAATACATAATGCAAAGGCAGTATGCATGAGAGGAATATATGACATGACAATCTTCGGGAATGACAATCCCCGAATCCTTCCAACGATGGCTGGGCTAACACACGTGACCGTAGAGGACCCAAGCATCAGGATGGCCCATTCCCAAACAAGGGGGTAAGCAGAACGCCGGAAATAAACATGCGCCGCAATCCCATTTGAGCCAGCCAAGCTAAGTTGCAATTTATCATACATCAGCGTACAGTATACTGCATGCAGACCCCCTGTCATAATTGGCATTAACAAGCTAACGACATGCAGGGAAACTACGCGATATTTACGTAGCTTTGATACGGCCTACTTACTATAACTAACGTTAACCCATAACTAACTTACTCATCTGAATTACTTGGCTCAGCAGAAAATCATGTCTATGCCCTTCCGTTCGCATAGAAGATAGCGCAGGTACAGAGTCAGCTCTGCCTGATTCAAGCATCGCATTCCCCACCGCGACCCCACTAGATCCAATTTCTCCTTCCGCGGCGAGCCCCGTGTCAACCTACTACACAGGAGACAGTACTAGCTGGAAATTCGCCCGCAAATCTAGATAAATCGCAGTATTAGGCAGGACCCCCACCGGCGGCCTCGCCGGCACGATCCCGCCAGCTTAAACTACCCAAGTGGGCTAGTCTTTTCAATACATGACGCTAGCGCTGCTCACTGATCTGCTGAAGCCAGTCGTAGCTCGTCGGCTACTTCAGCCCGACCAATGGATAAGCCAATAGTAATCGTGTGGCGTATTTTTTGGGTCCATCGGCTCAAATACTACGAGATGCTCGCGGCATGCTCTTTCGAGTTAGTCTGGTTTGGAGGGGAGAAAGAAGAGGGGGGGGGGGTTGATTTCCTTCTCTGAACGGACGTCGGGCAACCGACTACCCGCGCAAACCTAATTTCTAGAGGACGTGATTGCGATCGCTGAGAAGAAAATAGGACAAAATGGCATCACAAATTCTCGCTATTCATCTTCACGCCTATGCACCATATCCAAGGGGCAAAGGAAATTTCGCAGATTGTATACGGAGTGCCCTGCGCCCTTCTGGTTGGGTTGTTGGTCTTGGCCCAACTACGAACATGGACCTGCTCGCATCCGAACCAACATACAAATCAGTATCCACTGGTTCGACACATGACAGATGTCTCTCACGAGTCACGCAGCATCTTCTGGTGGGCTACCTCAGACTTACCAAGAGGCAGGCTTGTAGCCCAACTCTCACCTAATGCGCGCTTGCCTCTGAATTCTCCGTCTCTCAACGTAGTCTGGCCGCTTTCACTACGGGATAAGCAAGAAAAGACACGAACGATCGACTGGCTTGATTGTGGGGTAAGGGCCAAGCAATAGTATACTCATGATTTGCGCTAGCTACCTACCATTTTCAGATACATACATACGTGCGCTTCATGTCTATCGCCTGGATGACTCAGGGGCGAGTCGCAAGCTCTGCTCGGCGATGTGCGGATGCGGAGAAAGCAGAGTCTAGATACACGTATGTGGACGCCCCAGGAGCTGGAGAATACCGATCCATGGAACGTGTTCCTCTCTTTCGGAGCCGAAGTATGTAGACGGGGTAGTGACGCTGATGATGATGATAGTGGTGCATATCGATTTCTCGGGAAACAAATTGCTTCTTACTGGCTAGAACTGACTCGTTCGGGTTCAACCAAGCCTAGTCTCGATGTACTCTTACCTGTCTCCATGGCTGAAGACTGACGAATTCTAATATATTGAAATCCGGTTGGTCAATGTCGATGCTGCAAGATATCTACACTTCAGAGTCGTAGTTCGAGACTGCTCGGATGAGGAGACCCGATATCCGGGGGGTTAAAACATGGAGTTAAGCTCGGATACCTCTTGTATCCGGCGGTCTCAATTTGTTTTCATGAGAGCCGGTAATCTCAATAATCGCTTGGTAGCATCTTGTTTGCCTCTTTTTTCCTTTTTCAGATTTCTTCGTATCTTTCACCGTTAGCCTTGTGCTTCCCCGATCTACACTTCCTATCTTAATATTTCTTTTCTCTCTCCGGCCGCTTTAGTTGCGCCTCCGGGTCTGTAGAAGATTATGATGAACATATCTGTCTCCTACAATTCATGAGGGGCCTCTTAATGTCTAGGCTTTTTACTTGGTGTGAACACACACATAGTGCACGCTATCACATCCAGAGCATGAGGCTAATTCCGACCAGCGTCACTGCCTGCTTTAGTTCCGGTCCCCGGATAGATAGTAGATCGCACTAATAACTTAAAGGGCAAAGAGTGGGACGAATGCCTGAACGTTAGACTGCCAGTTCCCCCTCCTCGTTATTATAATTATTACTTTTCCATTTTAAGGATTTTTCTCATTTCATGTTTTTTTGCCTCGATTTTAATTTGATTTTTATTCCTTTTATTATCTAATTTGGCTGTTAAATTTGGTTCCCCACTCACTGAAATTCAGAATTCAATAATAATTCCCTTATTATGAGGTATGGGTTTGCTCCACGATCCAGATTCACTAGGGACCAATGTCCTCTACGTAATGTGAATACCGATCATACCCAAGCTATTATTCTCTTCTATTTCTTTATTATTTTTTATATTATCATTTTCCGCCATCCCTTCCAGTGACTGAGGGGATGGCTCAGCAAATGCCGCGCCTCAATATTCAGTGACATGATAAGAGAGGTAAACCCAATCCGTGCCTGGGTAGATGCATGTCCGCATTTAGTAACCACCCTGAAGTAGTCAGGCTCTGAACAGCCTCAAACCCGCTGGTTCCTCCCCATCCCCTCTTTTTCTTCCCCTCCTGTTTTCTTCTGGAAGACTAGTAGAGGAACCTAGTTTTGGCACAAAGAGAAATCTAGAAGCAAACGCCGTAGAAGAATGAACAGGGGAAAGGAAGAAAGAGTGGGAGGATCCGAAAATAAACGTATGGGTGCCCCAGGAGCAGAAGTGTAGCAGACAAGCGAAGAGATACTAAAATAAAATGGAAATCAAATCACATCAATCGAGCGGATGGGATACCAAAGGGAATGCATCCATGTCTGGCTCCGGTCCCAAGACAGCGGAACAAAGACAACGCCATCCAGCAACCCCGTGCCAACATCGAGGGAATTCACCACCGCCGGCCAGCAGAGGCAGCCTGTCAAGGGTTTCAGCCGCTGGGGATTCCATGGTTGTCATCCCCATCTAGAACTTCGTGCTGCAGTATCCATCCCGCCTTAAACTGCTTGATATCCGCCCGAATTCCACCACTGTTTTTCCCTTGTCCCTATTCCTTTCTCCCTTTCACACCTCGTGAACAACAACAGGTGTTCATCATCAAGCTTCTCTCAATTGTGCTTACTCGCATTGCTCTCTGGCTCTTGCTCGGACCAGAGCAAATCGCGCTACACTTCCTCCCCATCTCCATCATCTTACCGCTTCCTTCTGGGCTCCACCTCCCCTCTTCTCTCTCTTCTGCTTGTTGTCGTAGTTATTGTGGGCCTTTACTTGTTTGTTCCTCTCAGGCTTCACTTCACCGTCCTTTCTTCCACCTCCCTGTTTCTATTCTTTCGCTCTTCTTATTCTGTTGAGTGCCTTATTGTCGCCCATTTTGGCAACAATCTCTACCGTCACTTCTCCCCTGTCCTTTCGTTTCGAATTACTAGCTCCCCCGACGTTTATCCTGTCCTTTTCTTTTCCCCTCAATTTCTTCCGCACATACTTCCCCGGTTGTTGTAAGCTCTCGTTGAATCGCAACCCTCTGGAAAGCCTTCAAATGCATAGCTTCCCTGCTGTGGGCGATTCCTTAACTACTATCACCACTATTCCGGGTTATTGGCTCGCCTAGGCGTGCACGATATCCACTCACTGATCCCCGCAACTTTTCTGGCTCAGCCCAGCCGTCGCATACTTCTGCCTATTCATTCCTACGCCCAGAAATTGGAGGTCTCGCTGCCCCTACCTTTGAAACTCCAGTTCCAGCTTTCTCTCTGATTCACAACCTCTTGATCTCTCCTTATCATCTTCTACTGTATTCACTCCATCTTGCTCTTTCTCGCACCATGGCAACTGTCGCTACGGCGAGAATTATTCGCGGTCAACCGCCTTCCCCACCTCATTCTACTGATGGAGACCCTGCACCAGAAGTTCATCGAACCTCCTGTGGCACGCTCCAGCAAGCTTATGGACATCACGACCCTTATGGTTCTATGTTACATGAAAATCGTGCGTCTGGTGATATTTCGTACGAACACAGAACACACTCTCTGGTAAGCAGATGCAACTTGCTCAATTTCATATGCTGAAGGCTAATCGTGTTTCAGGACTACACTCCTCCTTCATCGCAGTACGTCTCTTCCGGGGACTATCCTCGATCACTGTCAATGCAGGCCCCGGTAAGTCTTGCCAATACTGGACTTTCCAGGT